AGGGAAGAAAGAAACCGGAAGTGGGTCCCACGGACTATAACTGCAAGAAAAGAAGCTATTAGAAAAGTTACGTCAGGCTATTTCAACATTAAAACAGTGAATCCTGTTTGCAAATTTAGTAGTACGCTTAAATTCAGCATGTTTGCTTGTTTCTATATAAAGGGTGTTTCATTAAGACGGATTATATATATATATATATATATATATATATATATATATATATATATATATATATATATAAAGGTGTTTCATTTAGACGGATCAAAGTCAGCAGTAAATAAATCAGTGTTATTGGTGAAAATATATTTATTTCTCTACTGGATCATATTATTTAAATCATGGCACTTACGTGTGAAAAATAATATCGCCTAAATGCCCACCAAATCTGAAAGAAAAAGGAAACTCTTATTTGACGCTTAAACTTAATTCACATTAAAATCGGTCCAAGTTATTGTATCTATATCGATATATACTTACGTCTTTATCTCTCTGGCTCTATCTCTGCTTCTTCGTTTATACACTTCTCCCACTATCTTTTCCTTATCTCTCTGTATCTTTCGGCATTTGCGTCCTTGCAAATTTTTCCTCTGTATGTACTTTTTAAATGTCTTTGAGGGTTCATCGCTCTTTCTCTCAGTTTCACAATGCTCCCTTTTTGGTTTTCATTTTTGCTACATGTCTCTCTACCGTTTCCCTGACTCACTTTTTTTTTTAAAATCTGTACATTCCTTCCTCTATCTGTTCTGTGATCCTTATCAGAATAAAGAAGCCATTTTTGACTTATCCAAAATTTAATCAGGAAATGTAAAATTACATTTTTATTCTATTCACTCATATCGCACGTCTTTTTGCCCTTTTCATTTTAGAGATGTCCGCCATTAAATTTTTGTCAATGATTTTTCCTGCCTCGTCTTCATCTCTATATTCTCTAAGCACGTCCATAATTTTCTCACCTTGTTATTTCTAAGCGTAACTATTTCCTGTTTCTTCATATTTTCCACTATACACTTTCCCATTGGATTTTTTGCTTTACTTTTATTTATAGTTAATAACTACTGTTCGTGATATCTATTGAACGCTCTTATTGACAAAATTCTGCTAACCTTGACACACGTTCAATTACATAATTTTACCTATATCAATAAGTGTTATTATTATTATTATGTTTCACCCTACGCAAGGCGATAATACCATTAAGACGCTGGGGTTAACTGGGAGTGAAAGAGAATGAGAAGACTTTAGTGAGGAGAAAGAACAATAAAATGAAAAGTTTCAGGAAGACAGAACATGCCGATGGACTTTGTCTTTAAATTTTTGAAGACTGTAGTTTCCAGGGAGGCAAGAGATCGTAAAAGAGTTCCACGAACGAGAAGTGCCAAAAATAGAAACTATTCGAAAAGTTACATGTAGCGATTTCAAAAGTAAAACGATGAGTCCTATTTGCGAATTTAGTAGTACGCTTTGAAGATTGTACATGCAAGAGATCCAGAGAGAATTCCACAGGTGAGAATTGCGAGAAAAGAAACTATTAGAATAAAACTTAGGGTTACATCAAGCTAATTCAGCAGTAAAAAGATGAGTCCTGTTTGTGAATTTAGTTGTGTGCTTATATTCACGCGGTCGAGGTTACCACAGAAGAGAGTTCATTAGGGTAGCTGCCAGGAAAATATTTATAGAAAAGACGGAAGCCTTGTTAGAACCGCCGGAAAGAGACTGAAGTCGAAATGTCAGATCAGGACCAATTACATAACAGATTCTTCTTTGGAAATTGTTGAGAAATCTCGAGATATATAACCGAAGCATAAGATATGTCAGCGATATTCAGTTGTTTTAAGACGTAGCTGGAATATTCGCCGTAAACATTTTTACCATAGGAAAACTCGCCTCGGGAATTTTCACCATATAGGATTTTTGCCGTAAGACAATTTCGCCGCATTTTTTGTCGTGTATTTCAATATTTAGGCATTTATAGTGAATTTAAAACAGTTTATGTTTGCAAACAATTCGTGCAAGTTTCAAAAGACTTACTGAGAGTTTGTAAGTGTTATCTTTGATCAGATATTTTATATTGAAGTTGGTTGTGTATTCAAGTTGTAAGTTTGTTTGAAATAATATATATTGCTTGAGTAAGAATTATTGGCAGACTGATATTATGTAAACAGAAAGTTTAACACTAAGTCTGATATATGAAATTGCATGACGTAGGTTCTGGTGTCAAGCTGAAATTTTTTCGTTCATCATTGACGAGGATGAATGATGCAGGATTTTGATCCTACGTCTTAACTCGAAGTAACAATAGTGTGTATGTCAGATATACTTAATAACAAGGTACTACGCATATTAAAAAAATGCGGCGAAATTGTCTTAAAGCAAAAATCTCATACGGCGAAAATTCCTGTGGCAAAAATATTTACGGCAAATATTCTTAGAAGCGTTTTAAAAACTTCCCTAGGCCTTGCTTATGAATTATTAGACTATCTTCAAAGAAACTGAATAATATTTCCCTTATAGATGATTTTTGTGAATAGTATTTGGGGGTGGGGGATTATCTCGAAATTTTATTATATATATATATATATATATATATATATATATATGTGTGTGTGTGTGAGGATGTAGTTATTGCTGTATATAAGGTAATTTTCCCCTTCACAATCAGATCCTCAAAATCACTCTGAATTCGGCGAGTTGAATGTCAAGTTAGGGATCAATCTTGTGAGCTGTGATTCACGCATGTTTAACGATTGGAAGGAATATACAAGTATGAGTTTGGATCAATAAAATTCCAAGGTTCTACCTCGTAGTTCTTCGCTGAATTTTTATCTGAAATTTTCAATGTATTTATGTAAAATCCTGTAGAAGCCTAGTCGGTGAACATGGCGACAGACTAACCCTGATACGCATTACTGCTATGCTTTCCGTGGTCGGTAAGCTTGTACAAAGTGAAGTAGTTAGACACACGCCCAAACGCTTCTGAATTCACTGTTTTCATTCTCCTAGCCTGGTGCCTAACCAAAAGCTAGAACATACAATTTGCCTTGGGATGAAGCCCTAGTTGGAGAGTGGGAGAAACACATGGAGGTCATATATTTCGAAGGGTATTTTGGCGAAAAGAAGAACTCGGTTGGAATATGGATTAGCACACCATTCCTTCTTTATCTGCCAATGATATACGCATACCCCAATGTTCGATCTATATTATTAATATTCATGATCCAATTAAGGGCATTAACACGGAAGAAAATTGTGTTAAAAAATAAATATTCTAGTAGGTTATTAGATGCACACAAACACACATATATATGTTATCTTTCTTTAATATCATTCTGTATTGAGATTGTGTTTTATATAGTTGTATAACCAAATTTAAATTTAAAAATGATTCAATCCGTTGTGAAATAAAAAGAAAACACATGCAATCATTGCTTATATCAACAGTCATAGGTTGTTTTTTTTTTTTTTTTAAAAAAAAGAAAAAGAGATTTTCTAAGAATCGACATGCAAATGTTAAAAAAAAGGTCCTTTTAAAATTTTCAGTAGTTATTCGTAAAATATTAAGGAGATCTTTAGGCACCTATATATTATGTGCTAACTCCAAATTCGTGTAATTCGATCGATTACTGTGTTATCACGCAGAGTTTCCCGAGTCTCGACGGAAATGTCACACATCTTTCAAAATCACTCTACCAGGAAATAATGAACATTCACTTTCGATCGATTTCTTTGATCTTTGAGATAGCCGCGCATTGAGTTTCCTGAACTTTGTGGGAGCATTTCATGCATGTCTATTATATATATGTACAAACACACACAAAATATATATATATATATATATATATATATATAATATGAATGGGGTCAGAGAGAGAAAAAAGAAAATCTTGGAAAACACGGTTAATAAAAGACTGGAAGAAGACAATATATATATATATATATATATATATATATATATATATATATATATATATATATATATATTATATTTTAACGTTGTCTTCCCAGATTCTCTTTTCTCTATCTCTCGGTGCCCCTATTCATATTATATTTATTTATTTCAACCTAAGCAAGTTAATAAACCCACTAAGATGAAAGGGATATAGTGTTAGAGAATATGACAAGAAAAGGACTATTAAAGGGAGACAACAGTAAATGGGCAGAAGATAAAGATTCACATTGCATTTATATTTTTGAAGATCGGGAAGCAAGGAGCCAGAAGAGAGTTCCACAAGCGAGAAGTGCAACAGAAATAAACATTAGCATAAAACCTACGGTTACATCCTGGCCATATCAACTGTAAAATTACGATATCTTACTGCCATTCTCGTACTGCCCTTAAATTCATAAAGTCTAGATATCACCGGGGAAAGTTTATCAGAACAATTACCATGAAAGTATTTGTACAGAAGGCGCAGGGTGATTACGTTACGGCGCTGGGAAAGTGGCTGAAGCCAAGATGCCAGGTCAGGATCAATATCATTGCAGATTCTTCTTTGGATTTTATCAAGAATGTCTAAATATATAGCCGGAGCATCAGACCAGATGTGTCAGCAAAAATTCAAAGCAAGGACAATTGATAGGCTTATAGTTATTTAAGATAGATTCAGGTGAGAAAAAGTGTCTAGCCCAACACAGCGAACCAAATTTCCTAGCAGAAACTTAACAAGTGATTCAATATCATTTTTCCATCTCATGTCAGCGGAAAATGTTAGTCTGAGAAGGTGAAATGATTGCTTGATTCATTTTCTACGATTTATCAACCCTTTAAGGGTTATTTAAAGCCAGAAAATATTTTACATTGTAAGAACTTTTTTTAGATAATTATGGTTTAGTGATATAAGTATTACTAATTTACCCATAGCTGGGGAAAAATAGGCGGATTCATACCTTTCCTAAGGTTATTTGCGCATAAGTGAATATAATTAACCAATCAGGAATTGGAACTCGGCTCTCCGATTAAAAAATCCGAACCTTTATCCATTACACTACCCGCAGATCCAAGCTTACTGTACCTGTTATTCCCAAGCGGTCACCCATCTTGGTACTGACCAAGCCCGATGTTGCTTAACTTTGATGAACTAGTACTGGAACCGGTGTGTGACGTGATGTGGCCGTAAGCCTAAGGCGCAATGAGTATATCTTGGTTATATATATATATATATATATATATATATATACGCGCGCGCGCGAAAATGTCTAACTTTTTAATCGGACACAAGGATCACTGTTGTTAAAATTAACATGAAAGTAAAACACTTACATGAAAATATCTCATTTATTCTCGTTCATTCTATCTAAAAGCTAAGAAATCAAAAACGGTTGCTCTTGAGGAAACACAATCAGGCCATTTAATCAACTCTTCTTTAACTCTGTGAATCCCCACCCTTGACTTGTTATCAGAGGAATATTTGCTTTGCTTCTGTACACACACATACAAAATGAAAAAGAAAATCTCAAAGCTAAAACAAATATCTAATCTCTCTCTTAGTATTTAGCTATGTTAGGTACGTAAGAAAAATATTATATATGTATCATATATTTGAAACTTATAAAGTATTAATATTCCCCCCTGATCCCAGTAAAAAATATAAACAATTATATATTATACTAAATTTAACACAACTAACTTAATCATACGCAATAACGTGTTTGGTAAAAAAAAAATCATTGTATATGAGTTAAAATGTCCTTTGGGAGATTCTATCTCTGATAAAAATGTAAGTACATATGTTGGTTTGACAACAACAGTGTTATCATGAAGTCTTACGCTCCATTTGTTGGATACAAGTTCTATTTCTCAACATCTAAAATCACATTTCTATCCACCTTCAAAATACAAGAAAATAGTCGTTGACAACATCAGTATACTACATGAAAATAACAAAAATTTCAAATTCTCGAGGTCGTCTGTATCCAAATCACCCAACACTCAACAAAATTTATTAAGAATATAGCAACAACATATTAAACTGCATATAAAATTAAATGCCATTTCACATTTCTACCAATTTCCGGCCAGCTACCTTATACTGAAACGCATGTTATACGAAAAAATTCCATAACAACACCGTATAAATTTTAAATTTAAAAAAAAACTATAAAAGCGCGTGATTTTAAAAATCACTATGACAACGGAATGTAGATTTTATCGCAGTTACAATAAGTTTGTCATCGCAATTTAGTCCTGGAAATTATCTTAGAAAAGATCGAAAGTACTTGGGTTAAAAAAAAACTACGACACCTTTCTTGATGAATTTCATTTTAACATCAAGAAACTGATTAAGCAGCTAGAAAGTAGAAACAATATGTCAGTATTATTAATATATATATATATATATATATATATATATATATATATATATATATATATATAAATAATGGTAGGGTAATGGATAGCGGCTTGGATTGAGGAATCAGAGCCAGTGCGAATTCAGTTGTGCATCAGGTCTCTGTATTCGACCCTTCAATAAGTGTGGATGGTTCTGCACAAAACCTTCGCCACTATAATCAACTCTCATGTGCTGTTGTCGGGCTATCGGTTTCCTGGGAACTGGTCTGCTTGACGGGAGAGTCGAGCAAGAAGAGATATATATATATATATATATATATATATATATATATATATATATATATATATATATATATATAACGTGATTTAATGATTAGCAATCTTGTCTCGCTAGATAAATTACAACAGTTATAATTTCGATAATTCCTGTAGTTTCGGTCTTTTGCCACATGTAATCTAGGCTTGCTAAATCTCTTCAAATACAGCAGGACTTTCCTTCCAACTTAATACATTAGTCTCTGCAGAGGATTAAAAACGGCCTTTTCTTCTTCATTGTGCCACGTCCCATTAGGACGTTGGCAATAATGCCTCTCCACAACTTCCTATCTTTCCTAGCTCCTTAATAAATTTTGTCTTTTTGTTACCACTCGTAAACCATGTTCTGCCATCCATTTACGCAAGCTCGTGAGCTAGATTATGTTTTCTTTTCCTTTCTCCCTCTTGTTTGCAGTCTGGCCTGCATCATTTTTTTTTTTTTCGTTTCCATTTTCTCGTTTACGTGTTTGGTCTATGGTGTTCTCAGTATCCTTCTGTAGAGCCAGCTTTCTATTCCTTCAAATTTCTTCATATGAGATGGGATTGTCTGGCATTTACTACCATATAGAAGGAATAGTATTATGTAACAGTTAAGTAGTCTTTTCTTTGTTTCTAACAAAATTTTCCTGTTTCTTAATACTTTGCTTAGCTTTTGGAAGGCGCCTTAGGATTTTAATGTTGCTCTTTCCGTCCACTGTTAAAACAGTCCCTGGACATTTAAATCATTGTACTTACTATATTTTGTTATCTCCAATTTCTGATTTGAATTTTGAGGGGTTCTTTTTGCTGAGAAATTCAAGTCGTGGAAAAATACGTAATCTACACTTTATTTTTCCAATATCGTACGGGTTTTTCTGTCTCTTTAATATGTTTTGTGAGTGTCAAATTTTCCAAGTCATCGCTCCTCATGATAGAAATTTCATTTATCTTGTTCTAATGTTAAGTGTTCTTTTTGTTTCCATTTTCTATAGAACTTCGTCGGTACTCACGTGTTCGGTTCATGGTATTCCCAGCATCCTTCTGTAGAACCACCTTTCTGTTGCTTCAATTTTTTTTTTCATTCGTGGGATGTCATATAGGAGGACCGATATTCCGTAACAGTCTAGTACTCTTTTCTTTGTTTCCAACGAGATTTTCCTGGTTTTAATACTTTGCTTAGCTTTTGGATGGTATCTTTCGCTATCCGAATGGGCCTTCTGATTTCGGTGCCATATTTTTTAGTCCCCTGTTAAAACACTTCCCGGATATTTAAATTATTGTATTATGCATGCTTAATTTTGGCATTTCCAATTTTTAATTTTGTTTGCTTGTTATCTCTCTTAAACCCTATTCTGCAATCTATTTAGCAATGCTCGTTAGGTAAGTCATGCGTTGTTATCCTTTCCGTTTTTTTCTGTCCCTCTTGCCTTCAATATGTCTTGTGAGTATTAAATTTTCCAAGCCATCTTTCCTTATGTGCCCTGGGTAAGACGATAAACTACGTTCAAAAGCAAGACATCTGATCAGGAGGTTTGAGGAGCGTGGAACTACCTCTTAATTGCTGGTGTTCCCAGGTCCGCCCTGATCTGCGGTGGCAGCACCTGTTAGGGTCCCAACCATGAGCAAATAGTTATCCCCCAAACAGGTGTCATAGCACTATGAAAGTGTAAAAAATATTTTTTATTACCAGCAATTAATTTTTGAAGAAAAAATTTTTTATCAGTAATACATTATTACTAGCAATACATATTTGAAGGAAAAATATTACCAGCAATACATTTTTAGAAAAAAAATATTTGCAGCAATACATTTTTGGAAAAAAAAATATTTGCAGCAATACATTTTTGGAAAAAAAATATTAGCAGCATTACATTTTTTTTTAAAAATATTACCTTAATAAAAATATTGTCGGCATTAAATAACCCATTGAGGTTGATATACCGTAAAACAAACCAAACCAATCTTTCCTCATTATGTTCCCTAGAAATTTTTTTGTCTCTTTCTGATGTCAAGTATCTGCTTCTATTTTCCCTGATACTTCCTCGTTTGCTCACATGTTTGGTCCATAGTATTCCCAGCATCCTTCTATGGAAGAATATTTCTGTTGCTTCAAGTCTCTTCTTCGTCTGTGAGGAGATTGTCCAACATTCACTGCCATATTGGAGGACTGATAGTATGTAACAGTTGGCTTGGAGGTTAGAAATATCGTTTTATTTACCAGACATCGTTCTTTCTTGTTTTGTTTATTTTTTAACTTCTTTAACCGCATTTATTTACCGCATTTTTTTTTTCGTGTATAACAGAAGATGTTTCTCTTTGCCAGGTATTTTATCCTTGCGTCGATATCTTGATCGAGAAGTCGTCCCTCGTTACACCCTCCAGCTCGAAGCATTTGATGGTCTCCATACTGCTACTGCCATGGTACAGATCAACATTCTGGATATCAATGACAATGTACCCATCTTTAACAAGACCATCTATACTTTTGATCTACCAGAGGATCTGCCGGTGAATTCTACGATTGGTAGCATCTTGGCCCGAGACACAGACAAGGGCGTAAATGGAACTGTCTCTTATCACTTGTTATCGGACTGGGGCAAAAACGTCTTCAGCTTGGATTCAAGAACAGGAACCTTCAAGTTGAAATCGCCCTTGGACTTTGAACAGGTGAGTAAAAAAAAATCTCTTTTTAACAATAACTTTATCTTCAGACGTATTCTCATATATTGTGGAGCAATAGTTACAATTAAGTTTGATATTCATTGGGTGCTCAGCAGTTGTGTCCTTGTGCCAGCTAGGTTTACTTTACTGTAGTCATTTACTAAGCAAATGGTCATAAGTATGATACTTTAGGAAGACTGAACCAGTTGTAATGTTGTCATTGTAAAGATTATGGAGAATTCGTGAGAAAATATTTCAAACGTAAAATTATTGTTTATCCATCTGAACTTCGTCATATAATACCAACGTGAGGGTGTGTCGTTCAAGGGGTCTTTCTTCGAACGTGTATCTTCTCACAAGGATATGAGAAATTCTCTGCCTTATCTTACTCCCACTTATATAACTGCATCTGGTAATTATGAGATCACGCTCCAGTTAAAAACACTGATGCTTTTCACATGACACTGAGTGCACGGTATATATTGGACGATGAGTATCGCCATAGACCAATTTCTGTTAGGAGAAATTTTCCATGTTGACATTGAATACGATTCATGCCTTCTAGAGTTTCCTGACCTCAGTGACGTACTACACCGTTACTCAATGATAATAACGCGTGAGCTGCTTGTTAACCATTGTGTCATGACGAGAATGTCTGATAGTTATCTCATAAAGCATAGTCTGGAATCAAAATGACAACACGAGGAACCCAGTGAGGATCTAACTCACGATTCAGGAATAATTATTTATGACACCAACTTTTTAATCCCAACCCTGTCGTGAAGATGATTCACCGGAACCCTTATACGCATTGTCTTGTGCCACAAGGGATTTCCAAATTCTGGCTCTGGGCTACATTTACTCTGTTACAAGATGTTTCCTTTTTTTTTTTTTTTTTTCATTTTCTTTAATTCAGAATAATTGTATACTAATCCTGAACATGATCCAGGTAAAACTTATTCTTGTAATTTAACTTTTTTAATTATTTTCTTTTGGCTTGTGAGATGTTTAATATATGTACATATCGGATGTAACAGCAAAATTATTCAAATCGCTTAACAGCATAATTATCCACCCCACAAATGTTTTAATATCGAACAAAAACAAACACTAATTGAGTTTCTTTTTTCCAAGTTTTCATATAAGACATTTAGCCACCTTGACACCATTTTTCGTAAGAGTTATTCAGCTAAAAAGAGAACAGGTTGAAATCATTTTAGGTCAGCCATCTGAGCAATGGTGAGAGGAAAAAGATCATTCAAGCTTTCAGTAATGGTACCAACATTCATACTCTGGTTTCTAACTTCAAAGTCCATTCAAGAACCACCGAGAGAAGGGTGAATAAGTTTAAAAAAGACGGAACAGTAGAGAAGAAAACTGGATCAGGAGGTCACAACAAGAAGCGGCATCATCATTAAAACTTAGAGCTTAAAAGATCAATTACAAAAGATCCAAATCAATTTATAAGACGTTAGGCACGTGAAAGAGGAATTTCAGCTATGAACAGGGAAAAAAAAAACTTGAGAAATTAAATCGTACGTGAAACTTGTTAGGCATCTTGTTAATCCAGGACAGAAAGTTAAAAGGTTAGAGAGGACGAAGATCATCTTGAATAAGTTGGAAAATGATCCTAAAATAATATATCCGATGCAATGAGGACGTAAATAATATATAAATTCTAACGTTCACAGCATTAATTCAAAAGACGGCTCGATACCGATAGTAGAGTAATAATTATTTATTATACTATTATCATATAGACAAAAACTGTTTTTGTGTATATGATAAAATTTCAATATATATTTGAACTTTATTTCGATACTTCATAAGCTTCCGATCCTTAGCTATGATTAATTAATGATGAACATGCCATTTTCGTTTATGATCAATTTCATCACGATTCTTTTTTTGGGGGTGGGTGGAGGGATTGCATTTATACATTCTTAGTACTCAAAGTAGAGTCCAACAGTGATATAAAAATTCTCGGAGAATTCTAGTAAGATATCTTTAATCATTTCTAATATGTAACAGTTCAGAGTTTAATTTAACAATTGGAAAATTTTGCTGTTACACGATTTGGACAATTTTGTTGTTACACCCGATATTTACTATAATGGTCGCACTGTGCAAGGCCCAAGAGCCACTCAATGTCGAGATTTATAGAGTAAGAGTCACAATTTATGGGAATATGTGAAGAAGATAGCGTTTAATCCGGGAATTGAACAGATTAAGATTGTAGTGATGGGGGAAGCATCCTCTTGGGATTCGTTTCCACAAAGCAACGGTTAGCGGGAAGAAGCTACTCGAGTGGAACTTCCATCTCAACAACGGAATAAAAGGGGAATGAAATTGTTTCATTGCAATATGCGTGGACACTTTCCACGGAAATAGCGATAGAGCAGGGAGAGGCCTGCGACGTTTCGTCTGTGGAAAAGGGGTCGTAGGGTGGAAATTAATCTAACACCTACAACGGCGCATGATCTAGTCTCGTGTACGTCTTCGTCTGAACTGTTGTAGTGTCCTCCCTCTAAAGAGTCTATGTTGGACCCTTTCGCCTACTACAAGATTAGTAGGGGAGAAGGCCTTGGGAGAACAGTCGAATAGTTTGTTCTACCGGGCTGTATCTGTTCGCAACTGCTGACTTTGGGCATAGAGGAACCCGGACGAGGCTGTGCTGAAGGGCAAAGTTTTGTCCGGGGTGGTAGACAGATCTGGACCCCTTTCTGCGGGTTCTACGGGAATATTTTTGGCCGAGTCTACGGGCTCGGAGAACCCGCAGGTAAACTCGACCTTGTGCCACATACAAACCCTCGTTGGGAGAGGGGCTGTTAAATATTAACAATCGAATAGATTTGTTCCAGCTGTGCTGGTCAAACTCTCTGCCTCTGGGCAGAGAGGAACCCCAGACGAGTATATGTCGAAGGGCACACGTCTCGTGAAACAGCTACCTGAATCCGTTTTATACGAGGTCTATAGGGAATTTGTGGCCGAGCTTACGGGCTCGGATTGCCCCACATTAGACTCGGCCTTGTGCCACATCGTACCTCGTGGGGAGATTGAATGCTTGGTCATACGACACACACTCACTAGTCGTGTAATACTCTTCTGTTGTACTTACTGTTTAATATATCACATATCTGTAACACTTGTTTTGTTATTCCTTTAACGATTTACTTGGTCCCAACATAAACAAACGATAACATTGCAAATATCTAATTCCATTTCTCCTTGCTCTGCAATTTGTCCGGTGGAATTAAAATACCCTCTGAACCTCAAGAAACTTTGGATCTGTGTTTAACTTTGTTTTTTATTTTTTGGTCACAACTCATTTCTTTTCATTTATTTTGTATTATCAGGTGCAGTTGTACACCTTACTGGTAAGTGCAATGGACCAAGGACCCCTTCCTAGCAGTTCAACTGTGACAGTGTATATGAATGTGAAAGATGTCAATGACAACGGACCCATCTTCAGCCCAAGTACATACACCACGGCTGTCTCAGAAAATGTCACCGTGGGAACTTCAGTTCTAACAGTGTTTGCCAGTGATGCTGATACAGGTATGTCAAATATATTTCTTTATAGATTATTTTTTTTGTTGACTTAATACTCATTACATCTTAATCAGAAATAATATTTTCAATGATTTTGCTATAGAAATAGACAGGAATGTATTTATCTGTAGGGATGTATTGGAAATGCTCTTAGTCTTGAAATACATTGTATGATTTTACTATCGTATTATATTCTAAAGTATTTTCCAATAGGAATGCGTTTGAACAGATTTTGATATAGGAATGCGTTTGAACAGATTTTGATATAGGAATGCATTCGAACGGACTTTGATATAGGAATGCATTCGAACTGATTTTGATATAGGAATGCATTCGAACGGACTTTGATATAGAAATGCATTCGAACTGATTTTGATATAGGAATGCATTCGAACGGACTTTGATATAGGAATGGATTCGAACTGATTTTGATATAGGAATGCATTCGAACTGATTTTGATATAGGAATGCATTCGAACAGATTTTGATATAGGAATGCATTCGAACGGACTTTGATATAGGAATGCATTCGAACGGACTTTGATATAGGAATGCATTCGAACTGATTTTGATGTAGGAATGCATTCGAACTGACTTTGCTATGGCAATGTATTTGAATAGAATTTGTTATAGCATTGCAGTGGGAATTATTTTATTAGAGGATTGCACGAGAAAGAATTTTACTGTGGAATATCTTTGGAAATTATTTTAATATAGGAATGCATAGAGAATCAGTAAGAAAAAAGAGGCATCATCATTGATCAGAAATTAATGCATTATTCAAAAGATAACATCTTTATGATAATGGTGCTTCAGATTCTCCCAACTGAACAAGGTTCAATTTTATTCCTGTTTCGGCAAATAAAACAAACAGGAGCTGAGGCAGAGCATGACATGTTCCAGCAAGGAAAACAGAACCAGTAAATCAATTTGTGATTCCAGTTGAATTTGTTTATGTTTCTTTTGAATTATTATCCTTGGAAAAGGCAATAATCCACTTGGATAGCTCTGGTATTGCCGAGTAGATTAAGGTATTGGCTCATGAATTTGGTGGCATTATAAATGTGTGTTCAATCCCTTAAGATGGACAATACAGACTCAGTGGAAATTGGACTAACAATAACTGAGCATTACTATTAGGTTGGTGCAAAAATAATTTCGTTTTCTAACATATGTTACTATGTGAGAAAACGAAATTATTTTTGCACCAACCTAATAAAAAAAAAAGACCGAACGAGATATCGTTTATACATGGAGAACGGAATGCAAACACTATACGCCTGAAGATTAAAGAAAGTCTTTTAGTTCGAAATTTCTTGAATGTTACCCGGATCGACGGACACCTGACGAAAACCAGTAGGCACAACTGCCGAAACGTTGTTGCGATGATGACGGAAAAGGTTAGGATATTAGTTGCAGTGTAAATAATAAATTTGAATCTGTTGCATCAAATTCAGAAAAAGAAAATAGATAAATGCATGTCAAAGTTTATTCTGAAGTAATAGCATTAATTGAATTCTGAGTTTGTCGATTCGGTTTCAAACCACGGTTAAATTTTTACAAATTCCGTTCAACTTATAAGCTTATAAACTGTTATGTACTATTTCTAACATTGGTTTAAAAATGAATCAAATAATCCTCATTGTAAATTCGCAAACTCGCGACAGATTCAAAATCTGATAAACTACCTGATTTGCCGGATCATAAGTTACTGGATTAAAGGAATACAACTACTATTAAAAAAAAATAGTTTCATTATAAACAAGAAGATAATGACACTAAGATGCAAGGGTTTTCAGGTACAGGAAGAGAATAAGAAAACCTTAGGACGGAGAAAGGGCAATAAAAGAAACAGGTTTCAGGAAAAACAGAAGAAGACGATTGACGTTGCATTTAAATCTTTGAAGATTGCAGATGGAAGGGGAAAAAGAGATCCAAGGAGAATTCCACAGGTGAGAAGTGCGAGAAAAGAAACTATTAGAATAGAACTTACGGTTGCATCTAGCTAATTCAGCAGTAAAACGATGTGACCTAACTGCCAATCTAGTAATACGCTTAAATTCAGGCGGACGAGGTTGCAAGGCAGAGAGCTCATGAGAACCATTTCTGTAAAAATATTTATAGAAAAGACAGGGAGAATCCATGCCACGGCGGTGGGAAAGTGACTAAAATTGAGATGCCATGTCAGGACCGACAAAAATATGGCTGCCATATCCAATGCGCGTATGAATGTTAGATTCTCAATATAAAACTCGAAATTTTGCCAGCAGCGTACTAAAGGAATGCAATGGAGTCTAAGTTGGTGTTGAAGACGCTCTCAGGTATTTATACGCATGCGTAGTGTACACGCGGTTCGTTGTTAAAATTTCAGCTTGTATGGTGAAATTTAATTTTATTCACGACATAAAAATATTCGTTGTTTGTTTATTTATGGCTACCCCACTGTAATTGTTGGTGCTATTCAGCACCTATTGCCAAAAATATTGGTGCGGCACGTTAAATTAAATGATAACCAAAAGATATACTTATTTAAGGTTTCATCAGAAGGCAAAGTGCTACACAGATTTCCTGATAATATTTGTCTTCTTTCGCTAGCATGTTTTCTTTTGATTAAAGCTTTTGTCAGTGTCTTGTCCTCTGGGCTTAGACTTTACTTAGCATTAAAATAAACAGTTTGTTTTTGTTTTTTTTAGGGATATTTTTTCTTTTTCTTTTTTACAGGGTTTGAAACTCTTATAAGAGATCACGTTTTCGTCATTTTAATGCACGCATGATTATTTTTTTTTTCTTTACTTCTATCAAGTATGGAAAATAAAAACAACTCCCACCTAAGCAAATCCAAAGACGCTGTCAGCACAAACATTGCTGTCCTGACGGCAGGAAATAGAAAACGATGATTGCATTCCCTGTAGTGGGTTAGAAAAGTGTTCACAAATACTTATAGACTGAAATATAAATTTTAACTGTTTCTTTGAATCTTGTTATTTTATTGGCTTTCATTCTTGTGTCTTAGTGGATTCATTGCCTTCCTTGGGAGTGAAATGATGAAATAAAAATTAAATACGTCTAATAAAAAAAAAAAAGCCGGGAATCGAACCCGAGCCGCCAGGTTGAAAGCCAGTAATCCTAACCACTAGACCACATGAGGGAACGAATGAGTAATGGATTGTGGCTCGTATTTACCAATTGGTGAGCAGTTGAGTTCATTTCATTTCACATAGCTTGGGAAAGGTATGGATCCAACTCTTCTCCTCCGAGCTATGCGTAAATAGTAGGCCAGACTGGTTTCTATAGCCTTGGGAGGAAACTGGTTTAAGAGAAGAAAAACTTTGAATTCAAAACTGTATGTAGCCATGTCGAGGCAGATTCTAGGCAGCTAAGGAAAGAATCATTCGTATTGACTCGAAGTTCTACGGTCGACTCCTTGATTTTAAAAAAATGTAAATACATAGTGAGTCAAAATTAGAAACGAATGTCTGATTTATGGCCGACATTTGATTGTTCGCCATTTGTATTCTAGTGTACAAGAAGGTATAAATCGATAAAAGACCTGTTTATTTAACCATTTATTCGTGGGAGGAGGGATTAGTAAGTAACCTGCAACACAAAAATATTTAACTGGGAAAGTTAATATTTGCAAGACAAATATGTACAATGGCTCCGACATTCTGTGTATAATTAAAAAAATATATAAATGCATGCGTATATAAAATAACGTGTTCCAATCTGTTTTCAGAGAGTTAAATCATAATTAGGGCTCCCTTAAGGGTAAAGTGCCTTCGACTTTCCTGAGTTTCTATTGCTTCCCTGGAGACTTCATAGCGTCACTGAGACGGCATTATTACCTGCGATAAATGTATCTTGTTATTGATGTGTATTTATTTTTACCTGCATTCTATGTAGTTATTAGTAGCTAAAATGTGATATAACGCCGAAAGTAGGAGACACTAGTGAGGCTCGAACCCACTATTCTGTTGTAATTACACTGCATTCCATGTGACACTCATGGATATTGTATCTCTGTAATTCAGGTGTCACGATGTTTGACTTGAAACAAATTTAATGCAAATCTATTGTTTTGGAACTGAGTTTTTTTTTGTCCGTTTCTCTTGGATATTTTTTTATTCTAATATTCAGAGCTAATACGGTAATCTTCTTGAGCGTTAAAATTGGCAACTCGTCAATTTTCATGGCGTGATAATGTTGTAGAGAAATGAAGCTAATAAACTTGTCCTTAAATCACTTGCAGCTTCGGTTTTGCGCCAGCATAAAATTTCGGAATAAAACCGAGCACACAAGTTTTAGGAAGGTGAAAGGTATATATATATATATATATATATATATATATATATATATATATATTATATATATATACTCGTTCCATTCCTTTTATTGATTTTTAATGAGAAATCGTTTTTTATTTTGTTTTCTCTTGTTTTGTTTATTTTTTTATTATTTATTTATTTTGTTATTCATTTCTTTTTATCTTTTAACTATGTCAAAAAAGTGGCATTAAGAGGTACATGGATGGACTTTGGGAAAAGCCCCCCCCCAAAAAAAACAAATTAAATTTTCTAATCAGGAATCTGCATAACCGTTTTTAACCATTGCAGTACTCCGTTGATCTTTCTCCGCCCCTTCAACAACCACAGTAACAAATTTGATTCGTTACGTTTTGCAATACTTTGCTGCCATTCTTGTCGTGGATACGCCTTGTATTTTCTCTAAGACATTTTTTACTTGCAAAGGCATTCACTCTATGTTAATTTGCGCTTGCGAGCTGTCTCTGACTCTCATTTATTTTCACTCACTCACTCATTATCTATCTATCTATCTATCGGTCTGTTCAGATCTATCTATCTATCTATCTATCTATCTATCTATCTATCTATCTATCTATCAGTCTGTTCAGATCTATCTATCAAGTACATGTCCCTCATACTTTGCTATAAATGCATTTTGCCCTTTTTCCCTTGCTACAATACTTCCTACTCCTATGACTGATTAACTGATTCTCTCTCTTTCTCTATGTTTCTTGTCCCCCTCTCTCCCTTTCTCTTTATTTCTTCTTCTCTGTCTCTTGGTTTCTTGTCTCCCTCTGTCTCTTTCTCTTTATTTCTTCTCTTTCTCTTGGTTTCTTGTCTCCCTCTGTCTCTTTGTTTCTTGTCTCCCTCTGTCTCTTTGTTTCTTGTCTCCCTCTGTCTCTTTGTTTCTTGTCTCCCTCTGTTTCTTTGTTTCTTGTCTCCCTCTCTCTTTGTTTCTTGTCTCCCTCTGTCTCTCCCTCTTTCTCTTTATTTCTTGTCTCCCTCTTTCTCTTTGTTTCTTGTCTCCCTCTGTCTCTTGGTTTCTTGTCTCCCTCTCACTGTTTCTTGCCCCTTCTCTCATTCCTTCTTTTTTCTTTATCTCCTTTCTTTTCCTTTCTTTCTCTACTTTGTTTATTTTTTTATCTCTCTCTTTTCTTTCTTTCTCCCCCTTTACTTCTTTTTTCTTTCTTTCTCCCCCTTTACTTCTTTTTTCTTTTCTCTGTTTCCTTTCTTTCTTTTACTCTATCCTTCTTTGTTTCTTTTTTTTTGTATCATTCTTTTACTTTGTATTTGTGTCACTCACCTTCTTTGTTTCATTTCTATCACTCTCCTTATCAGCTTGTCTTTCTCTTTCCTTATCTGTTTTTTTCTTTCTTTCTCACTCCTTTTATTTCTCTCACACATGTTATTCTCTCATTCCGCATTTCATTCAATCTCCCTTTTGCACCTTTCTTTCCTTCTTTCCTTCAATTTCACTCTCACTTCTGTTTTCCAATTTTTCTCCCTCTGTCTCTTCCTTTTTTTTTCCAATTGTCTCTTTCTCCTCCTTTGCCACGTTTGTCTCTCTCTTTCCTTTTCCTATTTCTTTCTCTCTCGCCTTTTCCTATTTCTTTCTCTCTCGCCTTTTCCTATTTCTTTCTCTTTCGCCTTTTCCTATTTCTTTATCTCTCTCGCCTTTTCTTATATTTTCTCGCCTTTTCCTATTTCTTTCTCTCTCTCGCCTTTTCCTATTTCTTTATTTTTCGCCTTTTCCTATTTCTTTCTCTCTCTCTCTCTCTCTCGCCTTTTCCTATTTCTTTTTCTCTCTCTCTCTCTCGCCTTTTCCTATTTCTTTCTCTCTCTCCTTTTTTCTATTTCTTTCTCTCTCTCTCCCTTTTCCTATTTCTTTCCCTCTCTCTCCTTTTCTGTTTCTTTCTCTCTCTCTCTCGCCTTTTCCTATTTCTTTTCTCTCTCTCTCTCTCTCGCCTTTTCCTATTTCTTTTTCTCTCTCTCTCGCCTTTTCCTATTTCTTTTTCTCTCTCTCGCGCCTTTTCCTATTTCTTTTTCTCTCTCTCTCGCCTTTTCCTATTTCTTTCTCTCTCTCTCTCTCTCGCCTTTCCTATTTTTCTCTCTCTCTCGCCTTTTCCTATATCTTTCTCCTTCTCTCTCTCCCTTTCCTATTTCTTTCTCTCTCTGCCTTTTCCTATTTCTTTCTCTCTCGCCTTTTCCTGTTCTTTCTCTCTCTCTCTCCTTTTCCTTTTCTTTCTCTCTCTCTCGCCTTTTCCTATTTCTCTCTCTCTCGCCTTTTCCTATTTCTCTCTCTCTCTCTCTCCTTTTTTCTTTTCTTTCTCTCTCTCTCTCGCCTTTTTCTATTTTTTCTCTCTCTCTCCCTTTTCCTCTTTCTCCTTCTCTCTCTCGCCTTTTCCTATTTCTTTCTCTCTCTCCCTTTTCCTATTTTTCTCTCTCTCTCGCCTTTTTCCTATTTCTTTTCTCTCTCGCCTTTTCCCCTTTCTTTCTCTCTCTCTCGCCTTTTCTTATTTCTCTTCTGTCTTTTCTCTTTCTTTCTCCTTTCTCCTTTTTCTTTTCTCTCTCTCTCTCCCTCCTTTTTCTATTTCTTTTTTCTCTCTCTCGCCTTTTCCCTGTTCTTTTCTCTCTCTCTCGCCTTTTTCCTATTTCTTTCTCTCTCTCTCGCCTTTTTCCTATTTCTTTCTCTCTCTCTTTTTCCTATTTTCTTTCTCTCTCTCCTTTTCCTATTTCTTTCTCTCTCTCTCTCGCCTTTTTCCCTTTCTTTCTCTCTCTCTCTCTCTCTCGCCTTTTTCTTTCTCTCTCTCTCTCGCCTTTTCCTATTTCTTTCTCTCTCTCTCTCGCCTTTTCCTATTTCTTTCTCTCTCTCTCTCGCCTTTTCCTATTTCTTTCTCTCTCTCTCTCGCCTTTTCCTATTTCTTTCTCTCTCTCTCTCGCCTTTTCCTATTTCTTTCTCTTTATCACATTTTTGATTTCCTTTCTTTTTCACCCTTTTGTCTTTCTTTTTAACCCTCTTTCTCTCTTTTATGTTTCTTTTTCACTCTCTCGCTCTTACTTTTCTTTTCCTCCCTCTCTTTCTTCTCTCTCTCTCTCTCTCTTTCTTCTCACTCTCATCCTTTATTCTTTTTTACTTCTTACAACTCTATTAATTTCTTTCTCTCTCTTCCAACAAACACACAGTCTCTCCTTCTTGACACTTCTTTCCCGACTGCATCTCTCCTCTTCACCTCATTTTAAACCTTTTGATAACCACATGTTACAATCAGAAAGATAAAATTCCTCAAAGTCTGTAGCCTAAGTTGAAGCCAATTACATTCTTGTAAGAATTTCCTTTGTGCCCTCCACCCCACCGACATATTCCTAATTTTTTTTTGGTAATAAGGAATTAGACGAACATAGAAATCACTTATTTCTTGAAATGATGCCATGTATTCTGGTATTTGGTAGAAACAGTAAAATTGCATTTGTTTATTTTGGGTTATATTCAGTTTCGCATCAGAATGCTTAGAAAGCGGATATTTGTCAATTAAACCACACCTCTGCTTTCTTCCAGTTAGATAGATTGGACGGCTTTATGTGAAACGAAACTGAGAGAAGAATTGGGTCACCCGCTCCTTACTCTCCCGTTTCTTGGTCATAATAAAATCTAGTTGAGATTTAGTTTTTAAAAAGACACAATTCCAGCTCATCCTCTCAACATATTCTGAGGGACTCTACAGTCCCTAAAAAAAAATGAGGAATTTACACCTGAAGAAGGCTGTAGAATGGGTTGGCTGACGTGTGGTCACAATAAAAGTAGCAAAAAGAAACGAATGCAGTATTCCAAAGAGACATTGGGATGAGCATAATGCTAACAGAAATATTATATTTACTTATAAGGATAATTTCTGATATTCATTGAGCGAGCAGCTGGTGCTACTGTCGATTGAAATTTACAAAATATTTTTTAAAACCTTTTTATCGGTAAGCTAGGCTTATCACTCTTTCCATTATTGATGGACGTTTCCTTCCTAAGTTTTTGCTTTAAGTAATACGCAAGTTGGAATTAAAGGAAATCAACATGTCTTTAAAATAACCCGCAAGGGTTGATAAGCCGTAAAAAATAGATCAATCAATCAAACACTGATTGACTACACAGACATTTCTTTTAGATTTATTTACACTCTGGAATATAAATATATAGAAACTAACTGACCCCAAAGTGAGGGATTAGTTTATATATTTAATATAGAATTTATCCCCAACTTTATATCCACATTTTAATAAACAAACAAGAATTTATATTCTGATTAGGTATGAATCCACCTCTCCCCCCCGGCTATGGGTTAAGAAATGTATAACTAAACCATTATTGTCTCTCCTCCCCGCTCCAAAAAATTCCTACAATCTAAAAATATTCAAAGTGAAAAATGGGCTAATTTACATAGGAGCATCAATATATCAGGGTCAGCGATAGTTGAATATTTGTAAAAGAAAATACTGCTAATAATAAAACAAAAATTACACAGATCTTACAACAGTTATTGAACACAAATGCAATAGGTAATTACATAGTTATCCTTCTTGTTGGTGAATATCTCCCTTGACTAAAAAGAAACTCATTTAGTCTAAATCACTATACAAATGACTATTCTTGTACTTAATTATTGTAAGTCGAATAAAGCTTCATAAGCTTACGGCGATATCATGTTGAAACATTCTTTTTAATTAGATCAACAAATTTAAGCAATATTGAGTCTGGACAGTACCTAGATGTGTTACTGTTAAGAATTACCTGGAGCTGTAAGCTTGGATGGGCGGGTAGTGTGATGGATAACGGCCTGGAAAATGACAAACTGGAGATCCGAGTTCTAATTCCAGTCAAATTTCTTACAGTCACTTACGCGTAAATACCTTTTTGAAAAGTATGAATTCATCTATTTTCTATCCTAACTATGGGTTAAATAGCACGACAGACTGGATATTATAGCCTTGGGTGGCTACCAGTCTACGGCAGCCTGTATATATATATATATATATATATATATATATATATATATATATATATATAATATAATTTATATTATATATATATTATATACATATATTATATTATATATACATATTATATATATATTATATATAATATATTTATATAATTTTTTTATATATCTATATATATAGTTTTAGTTGATTTTTTACAATGATGTTGACTTTGTACAAGACTCAAGGGTCCATTGAGGTAGCGGCTTACAGAGTGAGGAAGATAGTTTCTGGAAATTTCGCTATTGACACAATTTTCCTTGCCTACACCCCCCCCAGTCATCCCACCACAAAAACATGAAAAGCAAATAGTCTTAGAAACCCCTAATGTTAATATTGGTGTTCGCCAAAAGTTTTACAAAGCTAATTTTTTTTTTTCACCCCTCTTTTTTCTGTCGGCATCCAATCTCTCAGTGCCAGATTCAGCCATGATTAGTTTGTTTAAGGTTCGGCATTCAATTCAAAGAATTATGAAAGTTGATCTTTTCTTGGTATCATTTTATTATTTTTCCTTTTATTATTAATGTTACTTCCCCCTTCTCTTTTTGGCTAAGAATTTTTTTATATACATATTTTTTTTTTTTTTTGCATTATTTATTGATAATCTTGCAGAAGCATCTCAAAGAAACAAATAGAGGCAAAAGTCAGGATTGATGGATCAAAGACAGTGACTCTGATTGGTGCTAAGTGGAGCCCTTCAGAACAGCATCAAGTAATGTCTTCTCTCCTGCTGGAAAAATCCGTTGGCAGAAGCTGTTAGTTTAGTCAGAGAGACAGAGAGGGGGCTGGATACCAGTGGGGGAAGGAAGTGGCTTGAAATGGTGTGTTAATAATAACGTTCAAGAATGGCGAGTGAAAAATTTTGCTGATTCGGCTCGTTCAAGAAAAGAAAACCTTATTTTTTTTCTTTTTAAATTCTTTCATTTTCTTGTTTCATCTCCAACCTCATCGTTTCCCCCACCTTTTTGGTTGTTCTTCCATTTTGTGGCATTAGTTTCACAAACAAAGACCCTTCCTATTGAACTTCGTCACCACGTTTCTTTGAAAAAGATGGCGGGTTGGATCAGTTTTAGTTTGTAAAAAGTAAAGAGATTTTACTTTCTCCTTTTGTTGTTTAAGATATTTTAACTTTATTTCTTTTTAGGAGTTGTCTATCATATTTATTTCTTGATTTAGCTTTATATATTAGTAGCATTCTGTATATTTTTTAATTTTATTCTAGTCTTTTATATATTTAGATATTATTTACCAATTTATGGATTCCGGTACCATTGTGTATACATTCCGGGAGGCTCTTTATTTACGTTAAGATTCCAGTATACCCCCTTTCCCATTTAAGTGTTTAGATTCTTGTCCTCACAACTTTACATATTTAAATTCTAGCCATACTTGTTTTACATGTTTAGATTGAACCATTCCCCTCTTTCAGCCACCCCCAGTTAACTAGATTCTAGCACTCACTGCTTTACACGTTTAGATTTTTGCCCTCCTCACTTGTTTAGATTCTAACTTTTCCCATTTTACATGTTTAGATCCTAATCAGCCCTGCGTTACATAATTAGATTCTTGGCTCTTTACATGTTTAGATTTTAGCTTTCTCCTCTTTACATATTTATATTCTATCTCTCTCCTCTTTACATGTTTATATTCTAGCTCTCTCATCTTTACATGTTTAGGTTCTAGCTTTTCCCTCTTTACATGTTTAGATTGTCCTCGTCTCTTTATAGGTTTAGAAATAGGAAAAGCCCTCTGTTCTTTACATTATTAGATTCTACCTCTCCCCACGTTAAATGTTTAGATTATAGCCCTCTCCACTTTAAATATTAAAATTCTAGGCCTCCCTCAGTTTACATGTTTAGATCCTATCTCTCCCGATTCTACATGCTTAGATCCTATTTCTCCCGATTCTACATGCTTAGATCCTATCTCTCCCGATTCTATATGCTTAGATCCTATCTCTCCCGATTCTACATGCTTAGATCCTATCTCTCCCGATTCTACATGCTTAGATCCTAGCTTTCCCCATTTTACATGCTTAGATCCTAGCTCTCCCCATTTTACATGCTTAGATCCTAGCTCTCCCCATTCTACATGCTTAGATCCTAGCTCTCCTCATTCTACATGTTTAGATCCTAGCTCTCCCCATTCTACATGTTTAGATCCTAGCTCTCCCCATTCTACATGTTTAGATCCTAGCTCTCCCCATTTTACATGTTTAGAACCTAGCTCTACCCACTTCACATGTTTAAATCCTAGCCTCTCTACTTTACATATTTAGATTCTCGCCCTTTACATGATTAAATTCTAGCCCCTCTCACTTTACAGTTTTAGTTACTAGTCCTCCCCACTTTACACGTTTAGGTTCCAAATTCCCACTTCTTGATAGATTCTTGCATTCTTAAAACACATTTGACATTTCCAGATGCAACCTGTCTATTTATAAGTTTTGATTGTAATATCAACATCATCTCATTTTTCTTCAATTCTAATTTGTCTTGAGATTTATTAAGCATTTTCTCGTCTTTTGTCAATTTGTCTTCTACTATTTGCTAATGCTGATTCAGTTTTGCTTGTCTCTTTTAGTAGTCCATTAAAAACACTTTGTATATATATATATATATATATATATATATATATATATATATATATGTGTGTGTGGGGGGGGGTCCATAGAGATGCTGTTAGTAACCCTCTGATGAAACAGCTGCTGAGCAATTGTGGCAACAAGGGTGGGTAACTCAATCTGTGCCCAGTTGATAGTTAGGGTCTGTTATTTCAGGCTATATCCTGCTTCCTTCCCCTTTTCTTTTATTTTTTTTTTGTTTTTATTTTGTAAAGCCATCCAACCCCTTCCGACCCCAATTCTTCTGTTGCCCATTTTAGGCCTGCTTTTCTGCCATCTTGTTTTTATTTCCATTCTTTTGTTTAATTTTTCTCTTTCCGACCCCAAGCTTCCACTTCTTGTTTTGTAATGGCATCAATGTTCTTAAGTTAACTACTTCCATCTCTTACATTGGGAGGGCCGCCTTACCATGTTTATACACTTGTATTTATTATCAATGATCTGACCCCAGTTTATTTTCTTTCTTTCCTCTTATTTTCTATCAAGTGCAGGAATAGGTGGGGGAAATTTTTCTATCATGGATAAAGTTTTTTTTTTCATTTGTTTTTTTTTTAGTAGTTATAGCCGTTTAAAGCTCAGTTTGACCAAGAATAAGACATATCTGTTAATATATCTATTTGTCATTAATT